AGCGATGCTATCGATCGCTATATGAGAGACAATACGGAAACACAACCACTTGTTATGCGGACAACAATTTGTTGACAATTCAGTTATCAATTGGCGATTATATTGTGACGGATTCTGTAAACCTATGTTCCGTACGTTCCGAATCTTACCATGAATTCAACCGCCAAACAAAAGGCTTTTGTCAAAATCATTGTCTGATTGTAACGAAACTATATATTATATTATAAAAAGTGAATTGTTTAAACTATCTGACCTCGATGTATTTTACAATCATGCTTTCACATCTATAACGTTTGCCAACAATTATTATTTGCAACTCAATTATGTACCAAAAATATTATTTTTCGACTTAATCATCGCTATTATAAATGTGTTGAGTCTATGGCCGTGTTTGACGTGACCGACAACTCAATGGACCCGCACTTCCGGGTCATAACACTGGCATTCAGTGTGTGGACACTTACCGGAGGGGCACACCATCGGCAGTGTATGCGCGCGGATGACTCCCAACATTGCAGACCCAGTTTACCCGTCGGCCCCCTCTTTAACTACAGCTGTATTATTGGTCAGTACGTTGAGACCCGGGTAGTCGTCGGCAACATTAACCAATGGCCGGCCGTTTATATCAAATCATTAAAACACCTAATGATCTTGGCATTTTTCTCATGGTTAGCGTATTTGCCGGGCAACGATTATCTCTGGCTACTGGTATTGGCGCCTAAACCGAGCCTTTTGCGGTCATCGGGCAATGGATACAAGCGTTTGATACAAATGCAAAGTATGTGTTACTTCACTCACAACCGGTCGCCGACTTTGACAACGTGTTCAAACGGTCGACTCGACTGTTGGCCGGAAATCATACGTTTTCGGTGACAAAAACAATGCGGTGCCGATGCAGTCACTACGGCTCAGACCCAGCGACCGGTGCCGAGGGGTCGGGCAGTGGACAACCGTTTCGGGCGATCTCTCACTGGCATTGTATGCGAAAGTGTCGACTCGATTACGCGAATCAAATCAATTACAATAATTATAGCTTTTATAGAGTGGACGATATATTACATGAGTTAGACTTTGGCGGTCAACCAAATTATATTGATAAATATAATTATATTTACATAAATTTAGTATAATAAACATTGTATAAAAATTAATAAATTAATAATGAATTCCTTGCAAATTAATTAAATATATATTAATTGTTATTTAAATTTTGGATAAATAAATATTGATTGATTTAAAATTATTTTATTTTACAATAACTTGTGTTGAAAACGATATTTATCTCATAAAATATGAATGACGTGAACGGAGAGATTGATTTGAGACACCGATAAATCACTTAATCACTGAGACTGAAGGCATGGCCAACAATCACACACCCATTCATTGGTACATTCATTGTCGCCATTCTTTGGATCAGTTCTCTCTTGACTTTAGGCAATAAATCCAATCGGAATTCTCGGCGCCTATTGTCGAGCGAAAAGACTACAAAATGGATCAACTCTTCGATCAAATGTATGATATTTGCCGTGTCTTTGCAATCAATGCTGAGCTGATCCACACCAGCAAACAGTTCCAGTATATGTCTTGTGACGTAACCATCATGAAGATTACGAATGATAATGCGCTTGATTTGCGGCATTTTTGACACCCAATCCATACACCGATAGAAACACTCATTACAATCGTCTCCTTCCGTACAATCCATGCGATAAAACATGTAATCGACAATCAATTTGCGGACATTCGGGAAGATTTGGGCCAAATTTGACCACCGATTCGGCGAACACTTGAGTCCCCACAGCGATAGTGTGTTCAACGATACCATTGGTTGCATATATCTGGCCATCTCTTGAGTGTCGAAACACATCCGCATCTCTTCATGGTTTTGGTGCACATAAATAGCGGAACTGATGTGAAGTATTTTCAAGTGTTTGAGTTTTGCCACACTTTTGGCAAAGTCTTTGACGGAAATGTCGGCTAAAATAGCGTTTAGACTCGTGAGTGAATTGAGACGATCGCAGATCATTGCGAACCACTGTTTCCAGTGATCAAACGCTAAGTGTCCCATAAATCCTTCACTCAAAGACTCATAAATGTATAGTTTCTTTATTTGCCGGCATTTACTTGTGATCACATCCAGTGCCTGACTGTCCGCTGGAGTCACACCGATTCGTAGGCTTTGGATGTTTGCCGACAAACAATCGCTCAGAACTGATAGAGTGATGGTCTGGTTGTACGGAATTAAACCCCAGACATCCACCCCTTGAAGTGATGGCAAGTTTGCGATCATATCTCTTAGAGATGACACATATCTGGTGTGAATACTTCCGATATTTAAGTATTTAACTTTTGACAGAAGTTGTGTCCATTCGGTGATAGTTCTGTCACTCGAGGCATAGAAATCGATGTCATAAATGTAAAGCTCTTGGAGTAGTGGCCACTCAGTGACCATCAGCTCTAATGTATTGAAACTGATGACAATTGACGCCAAATATAACTTCTTTACGCCACAGAATTGGCGGACAATAGACGCGAGTCTATAGTAATTCACTGTCAATGCTCTGTCCTCTTTCAAAGTGACCGCTCGTGTGATGTCTAAGCGATTCCAGTCTTTGACCTCAAAGTTGGGTTTAAAACATCTTACTTTTGAGCTCGTTTTGAGATCATTGAACCCAACGCTCACTTCTGTCTTCTTCTTCAACACTTGTTGTGAACAACGGCTGAACTGTTGTGACACTCGTTGTAATGAAAACAAGTCTTTGATATCTAATCGCTTGAATATATCCAACAGAATGTCATCATTCATGACATGACTACTTCTGGAACTCATTTTTTAAATCTTATTTTTTGTAATAAATCTTGATTCAAGCCTTTAACACATTTTTAAATCAATTGTTTATTTTATAACTTTTAAAAATAAATTTCAATTTTTTAAACAATATACCAGAATGTTATATTAAAAACATATAAGTGAACAATTAATTTAATATTTACACAATTGATTACTAAACTTTTAAGTAATCAATAAATTTTGTACCGATATTAAATTAAATAAATGCTAAGATTATGCTTTTTATTAGTTTTATTAATTAATATAATTTATTATTACCGGTAATTCTAGAGATTGTTATTATTAAATAAAAATATGTGGGATTTGTATTATAATTTATTTTAACGGCTGATCGACACCTCAGTATAGGAGCCAAGTCTGAAACCAGAGGCGCCCTTAACATCGAGCCAACCCTCACGGGTGGCGATCACAGCCTCCCCAGCGTTCAGTCCTTCGGCTAAAACCAATAGACCATTAGAAGAGTCCTTCGATGACAACGATTTCATGTCTGATTAGATATAAAATTATTAGTAAAAATGGTTTTAAAACTTGATTGAGTTTTGCATACATTTCTCATATAAAGGTTCGGTAATTGTCTTCACTTCTTGTTTTTCGTTCACATTTTTGCGACCATTTTTGCCGCCATTAATGTCTTGCACAGCGCCCGCACCCAAGCCGTAGACATTGCTAATCGTCAAAGACTTTTTGCCAGAACTGACGGTCACTTTGAGGGCACCGATGGCTCCGATTCCCTCCACTATAAGGAACACAGCGCCCGCACCCAAGCCGTAGACATTGCTAATCGTCAAAGACTTTTTGCCAGAACTGACGGTCACTTTGAGGGCACCGATGGCTCCGATTCGGAGGTGATATTCCTTAGGCAGCAAACGAAACTCAACTCAAAGCCCAGAAAATAACTAACTTCAAAACCTGTCTTTAAGTAAGTTTCAAACCAAACTTAGGTTTAATTGTCTTTACGATATTTATATACAATAATTAGTAAAATATATTAAATATAAAAGAAATTCAGTTTTCCTACTCTTTCAACACATTTCTTGCGATTGACTCCAAATCATGGGCTGAGACGAGGGCTACGACTGACACAAACGCTAACAATATTTGCATCATTTTATTGCAGTTTATATTTAATTATAATTATTATTATAAATGAATTATAAGACAATTTGTTATACTTTTCTCAGACAAAAGTCATGTCTTTATATACTATTAAATGATGTCTTCAATGAGTGATAATTACCTAACAATTGATAAACACTTGGATTTAAGATTGAAAATAAATGTTTAGTTTAATTGCAATCATATTCTTAGTTATCAATTATATTCAGTTAATTATTAATTAGTTTTAATACAAAAATATATCAATTGTTTAATAAGAAAGAAAATTAAAGATTATTTGTTGAAATCCTAACCCAAATGCACTGAAAATGTGTTTAAAAATACAATTATTACACAATTGTTAAGAAATTGTTGTTTTTATGACAAAAGACATCATTAAAGTTATCATAACTTAGTTATGATATATTAAGTCAAATGATTTGTAAATCAAATCCATAGTTAAGTGAGAGATAAACCAAAAGCACTGAAGTTTTGACACTAAATGTGACGACAAATTGTAATTAATCTAATCTATTGTTTTGAAAAATATATGAAATATTAATCCAACGATTGATTGCTTTTATCGCTATTAAAATATACCGTAATACCTGACTTAGAAAACCATGCAATACTAAGTCAATTTCAGTAAAATCATGTTTTTCAAAATCATATGCAATCTTATCTAGGTAGTATTGCACCCCTTCACTAAAAATGACATATCATTGCATGCAATAGTATATGAAATTCAATACAAATTATAAATTCAAAGTATTTATTATTAGTATTACATTTGATTAACAATTAATTAATATTTAATTCAGAGAAATCTTCTGCAAAATCTATTACTTCTTCGCATGTCTACACTTATATCAATGTTTATAACTTCATTTATGTCTGCATTTGCAGACAATTCAAAATTTTGAGACATTTTATTCTCATTATTAATGAGTCATTAAACACAATGTTTGACAGGAAATGTATATTCAATCGTTAAGCCAACGTTTTTTAGATAAAACTACTTTTAAAACAAATTTACTGTTTTTTAAAAAGCACACAATGCATGCAATAGTATGTCATTTTCAATAAAAAGTACAATTACTCTAAAATAGAGTGCAATCTTACCTAGATAGTATTGCACCCCTTATTCTGATATTGACTTAGTATTGCATGGTTTCCTAAGACAGGTATTACGGTAATATAAATTCATAGAGAAATTCACAACTTTTAATAATTGAATTACAAATAAAATTGAATTCTAATCAAAATGCCTATCATTTTAGACATTTAGGTTCTAACCGTCGCTTTTGAGGCCAAAGTGTCCAAAAATAACAATAAAACTTCAAAATAATTGTAAAGTTTTTTTTAATAAAATATAATAAAGTTTATTATTTATTAAATTTGATTATTATTTTAAAAATCATAAGTGATTTTAAGTTCATTTTAATGATTTATATTAATTTATATTATAATGAAATTTAAGTATAATTTAAAAGAGAGATTAATTTAAATTTTATTAAAATTTCTAGAGTTTCCACAAATGTCTTTGAGTCTGTGTTCGCCATAATCTTCAGCCAATTCCAAGAGTTCCGTACAGTTCTGGTCATTCACTTCGGGTCGCAATCCATACAAAAACATGAGAAACGCTTTAATTGTGTCATAAGAATAGGCATTCATTTCAATCTCCCGTTCGGTAAACATATTTTGTTCACATATTTCCCAAAACTCTTTGTTTCTAATCTTGAGAACAGTTTTGTGACAATAAATGAACTGATTTTCGACAATAAATCTCAAATCAGAATCCAATCGATTGTTAAACGCTTTAAACAATTCCTTTTCATAACTAAAAATTTATAAACAATTAATATTTAATTTTAAAACTGATTGTAATTATCAAATACCCATTCGATACGAGAAGATCACAACTATCAGTGCTGTTTGAGTCAATGATTCCCGTAGTTTGTGATTCTTCGCCCTCGGAATCAGATAAATAAATCTCTTCATCGCTTTCGGAACAGTTATTTGATATCAATTTGTGACATTGAGTGCCAGTTTGTGGACCAATGGCTTTGATATCCTTCTCTTCTTCTAAGCAATAGATCTCTTCTACTGTTTTGGAACAGCTCTTCGTCGATGACTTGATGGGCAACAAATGCTTTTTAATCGCTTCAATGCTTTGAATACTTAAACGACTGCAAATAAATCCGATTAATAATTAATTGATAATTAAATATCGATACTTACGGTGCGATTGAAGCACTTTTTGTGGTAATCTTGCGGCCAAAGGATCCCGAAGTAACACTGGGTTTACTATTTAGTGAACAAAACAATTAAAACACAAAGTATTTAAAACTATACTTAATTTGTAAATTAATTGTCAAAACTTACCTTAAATTCCGTTCACAAGAGGCGGTGTTCTTGGAGTCAACGGTAACCGTATTCTTCGTGTTATCTTCACATTCATTGAGACATAAACTGGATTTCGTTGAATTACCGCTCGATTTACTATTAAGTAAAAAAATAATTAAACATAAAATATTCAAAACAATGTGTGATAAGAATGACATGACTTACGGATCAATTAATTCCGATATCAAAACATCTGACGTGCCGTCGGGTAATACAGATCCCGATTTGTGACACTTATCGTCAATGTGTGGACCGATTGTATTAATGACTAAATCATTGCATTCTTCTGTCTCTTCTCCTTCAGACCAATAGATTTCTTCATCGCTTTGGGAACAGCTATTCATCGATGACATCGATGTCTTAATTAAATCCACAATCGATGCAAAAGTCCGGTTATAACCACAATATTTGGCGTAAATGTCAAACAGTGAACAACCGATCGTTATATCAATGGGAGTCCAAGTTATGGAACCGTTGGCTTTCCCGAGAATAAACAGCTGGCCGTCAATTGCCTTCACAATCACTACCCGATTGTCATAAGTGGTGTCAATGGATTTGACGTATTTATTGGGAAAAATGTTCAATAATTGGTCACTTTTGGGATCGGGTTTCCAGTCGTCACTGCCGTACACGAAGACAATACCGGCCGCCGCCAGCAGTACCGTGTGATTGGGTCCGCACAACACTGTTTCATATATGAGATCAGAATTGTGGCCAATAAACAATTGCGGCCAACAATACGTCTTTCCGGGCACTACAACTGCTTTGGGACCCAACTGTTGGCAATCATTACTGCCCCAGACATAAGCGGTTCCCGTATCGGTCAGAGCCGAAGAATGGCTGCGACCGCAAGAAATGGACACAAATCTATCTTTAATTTTGACTCTAAACGGTCGCCAAACCATTTCGCCCTCTTTGTGACCGCATTGGCGCCGATCGTTGGCCCCAAAGCTGTAGATAAAGCCGTCTTTGGTCAGCGCCAGCGAGTGATTATCACCGCATGAGATGTCTGTCACTGATTTGGATTGTAATGTTTTATTAAGTATTTTGATTGGTTGAGGGGTTGACATGTCTTCAACAGATCTGATGCCGAGCTGTCCGCTCGCGTTATGTCCCCATCCATAGCACTGTCCGCCACTCGTGAGTCCCAAACAGTGTCCCAAACCATAGCATATCTTCGATATCTTCTTTCCGGTGAGAGTGGCGTTCAGTTGCGGTCTTGCGATGGCATCACTCACTCCGAGACCGAGTCGACCGAAACGGTTGGTCCCAAAGCCGTAGACCCGGTCATCGGTGGTCACAACAATCACTTCTTCGCCATTATCACCGAAAACAACCAATACTTTGATCCTAAGTTTGTGGTGGTCTTCGGTGACCACCGGTTGTGGACATAAATGGGGAAACTTTACGTAAATATTCAAACTATCCATTCATTCATTCAGTAATTAATTAACGATTTATTTTCAAAACACAATTCAATGCTTTATTTGTGTGAATAAACAATACATAAGTGTTTCGCTCATCGCTTAAAACCCTTTCAATAGAGCAATCGCTTCACTGCTTAACTCACTATTTATGAGTTATAAATTATAACTTATAATTAAGTTTAGTCTAATCTTTAAAGTGCTATTAATTTAATTGAAATTACAATTAAAAGTTTTGCATTAATTATTATTTATTAGTTTTAATATAATTGATAATACAATTTGATTATAAAGAGATAAAAACATTATTAAAGCTATTTATATAAAGTAAATGTGAGTAAAATTTAATTAAATATCGATTGCATTAGTCTTTTGGACAATTCTTCAGACATTGTCTCAAATGAATCCAATTTGAAAATGGATTTGATGTCAGTTTTCGCGAATTCAACGCATCTCTTCTCCAACTCAACGGATCCATCGGTAATAGACTTCTCATACAAACTACAAATGTTTGTCAAATCAATTGTCTCATCACTTGATCCCAATGTCTGTCCGCACCACTCCTGAAGAACTGATTCGCCATAAAGTGTGGCCAACTTTGAGACTTCGCGAGCGATTCTGGGAGTGATCTTCGGTTTGATTGCATACAAGAACTGAAGGAATGGATAGAAAGAGTCGTAAGAATAGCTCTTAATGTGAATCTCATTATCGATTGAATTGTTATTAAT